AGTGTGATGAATATTATATTGTGATTAACTAGAACATGTAGCATAGTTGCAGTACACACTTGCAGGTGTCCCATACCTCTCGAAAAAAAAAAAAAACCCTCCTGTATAAGACTATTAATCTCATTCATTTGAGTAATAAATGAAATAGAGGTGAAAAGGTGAATGAAATGCTAAAATGCCTTGGGAAAAGAATGTGTAAAAAACTTGCAAAATTAAAACAGCCTGCAGATACTTCATATGGGATTTTTCTATAATTAGTTCCTAAGCCATCTGTGAATGAATACTAGATAAAGAACTGTCCTTTACTTAAATTGAAACACATCTACATTTCTATAATTTCAACAGCAGATATACATAACTTTGTCTGAAAAGTTACAATAAATATAAATATGGTGTTTTCTTTTTCAACTGGGTTAGAAGTGAAATTCCATTTGTATTAATTGATAGAGCACAAAGCAGAACATTAACATATATACTGTATGTGGAAGTTTCGTGAGAATTCTCATTGGTTAGAGAAAAGCAGGTAGCTACATCAAGACTTTTTGTACAATAACCCAAATAGCCTTTCATTTGGAAGATTACAACAAGTAAATTCAAAGTGTGAAATCTTGGCTAGTCTGACTGTGGCTTGTAATTTAAATTCTGCAGTGATAAAGACTGTAGAGTGAGGAACAGCCAACATAAAACATTTAATTCCCCTCTTCGGACTATTAATGAGCTGTGCGTTTTTATACCCACCATAGACATTTTTGGTAAAAGTTATATAAAGACTCTTTATCTAAAGGACTATCTTTTGTAAAGTTGTTTGTTATTAACAAGACATATTTACTAATTAATTCCATGGTTTTGTTAGCAGTAGAGATAACTATGCTTTTACCTTGCTTAATTAATATACTTGTTTTTTCTCTCTTATCTATGGTGTTGGGAATTTTGTCTAACTGTGGCTCATCTTATTTAATAATATTACCAAAATAAATAAATACACATCGTATTAAATTGTGACGGTATGTTTGTTAACAGCATTCCAGTATGGTACACTCCTACTCCTAGTTGTCCAAGTTAGAGGGAAACGTGGTATATTCCCTAAATATCCTCAGTGATAGCACTCTGTAGGCCCAGACAAATTCAAATCAGCCACAGGATTTTCTAACTATCCTCAGAAAACATAGTGCGAGCGTCCGAATTTCCAGTTCCGAACTGTCATATAGATTATTGATATACAAACATTTGATACCGCACTCTAAACTGGTTAGTATAGATACAAATTACCACATAAGTACTTATTCAGAGATTTTATTTAATCACTATGCTAGAAAGCACAAAAGGACTATTATACAAGTGTATATATATCACATCCACCTTGACCACTGTAATTATCATAAACACACCAAATATAGCTAAACAAACCCAAAAAAAGAATTATTTCGACAATGTCAGTAGTTTTGGTGCTTTAATCGCACTATATGGCTGAGAGCCCACTGTAGAATCAGGATCAAACTGCTTCCTAACTAGGAGACCAATGATATAAGCTTCCAGTAAAAAAATAAATAAAAATGACAAAAAAAAAATAAAAATAAAAAAATAGTGGAAAACAAAAAATGTATATACAGTCCTAGTGTGTACACACCAAAAATATTATTCAATGTCCTATTGAAGTGTGGAAAGGTCTCACCAATATGCTGGTCAGTGTTAGTCCTGTAAAGGTTGAAGTGTTATGGATCTGAAGTGTATCCAAGCACTTGTCAAGGGAAAGACTCCTGTTTGTACCCTGCAGACGGTACACTTGGAATCATTCGTTCTCCTGTAGGAAGTAGCTGTGAAGTTTTCAACCTAGGCTTGGGGTCTCTTTGCCAGTCGGTGGGGTGCTCTATGATTTCTATATAGATTATTGAAACAAATGAGCATGTTCATTGGATTTGTGTTTTGGAGTTTCACCCATGGCACAAAAGTAAAAAAAAAAAAAGATTATTGAAGGTGAAAAAATGTCATTGATGACTAAGTAACAGCTACTAAATGCTGATTTTATTCACAGATCCAATGTCAGATGTGACCAATGGAGGAAAAAAAGTAAGAGCAATGCATCCAAAAGGCTTTAGGTCTGAGCAATGGTGCCTCACGGTCTCCTCCTCTTGGTAGCACAGGATCATGGTCTATGACCATGAATCTCAAGGACAACAGTGGGTGTCCCACCTCAGGAAAGTGACATGCTACAAGAATATTGGAAGTACCGCTCTCCAGGGCTGACTGAATCGCTGATCTATAGCCTTCTCTGGGATTGTTTGATGTCTTTCCAATGTATGTAAGTCTACAAAGGTTAACAAAACAATATGACACATGTGTGGTTGTACAAGTTATGATGTGCCTGATCTTGTACTCTTTGCTCGATTTTGAATGAAAAATGTTTTAGCTGGTGTCATGGATTTGTAAGCTGTGCAACCAAGACAATGGTAATACTCAACATTGACATATACAAACTGTTCCTGTATCAATAAATATTGATCTATATGTTTCACGGGAATATACCCTAACACGTAGAGTGTAGGATAACAATAGCTGACCAGATAGAAAAGACTTATTACTGGACCTTAGAGTGGCAGGGATTAATGTACAAAAGAGAGAAATCTTAATTAAGCCCAAATAAAGATTACGGAGTGTAAAACTAGCCGGAGTCAGTAAAATGGAATAACAGAAAGATGTAAATGCTAGTCAAGAACTAGCCAAGGTCAATACCAGATATCAGAAAAATCAGATAGCAACAAGGAATGCACTAAATAGGTACTAGTAACAGAAACAGTGATAATGCACAGTAAATGGGGCCAAAGAATTGTTAGGTGTGATTTGATTGGTCCACATCACACCTACGACAACTGAGCATGGCTGAATGGAGACACCGGATTGACACAGTCCATATAGAGCCAGAAATGATTACCTCCCCTTGTGCAGCTCTAAGAATGTGCTCCAAATGCAAGCAGTGCTGCATCTCTGGAATTGGGGCCATGCAAATGGCTTACCCGTTAGATGAATGCGGCACACAAGGACCAAGTTTTACCAGGTATAGGTAAAAGTTGCAAAGAAACCACAGGGCACCCTATGCGAATATTTCACACTGGCCCAAACGACGCAGACTTTGCACATATTCTCTAGTGTCCTTAGGCATGCCACCAAAAGTTACCAAAAATAGCAGATAACATCTTTAAGATACTGGGATGCCCTGCTGCCCTAGTGTCATGATGTAGAGACAATACCTCTTGTCTTTCTGTAGGAGCAATAAACAATTTCTCTTGAGGTTTTTAATTAGGATTCTCAGTTTGCTTAGCTTGAATGCCATCCAAATCAGAAGCATAAAGTGGTCACAATGAGGAACACTTCATTCAGGAGGAAAGACAGGAGTAGGGTCTATTTCCTGATTATCGCATATATCAAACGGTCTAGATAAGGCATCACTTTGGTTTTGTGTTGGCCTCATCTATAATTAATGATGAAATTAAAATGAGAAAAAAAAGACCATCAAGCCTGTCTAGTAATGATAGGTTCTGATGATCCGTAGGTATAACAACTGGATCCATAAAACCTTCTAGAAGGTTAAAACTATAACTACAGAAAGTAGTTCTCTATTGCATAAATCATTATTTTGTTCCGCCTTAGTCATTTCTTGGAATAAAAACCATATGCAGAGGTTTGTCTGAGGGCTCGCTTGTGATATAACAGCTCCCACTCCAACTTCTCACAGCATCAACCTCCAGTATAAATGGCATGAATGGATCAAGGTGCGGGAGCTGAAGCAAACGCGGTCTTGAGAAACTGAAAAATATTATTTCCCTCTGTTGTCCATACATTTGACTTTGTATCTTTTTTGGTTAACCTGGTTTTGGGTGCAAAGCCAACAAATTGGTCTATGGCTTTCAAACCCTGTGGCAAAGGTCAGTCTAACACTGCAGAGAGTTTCTTAAGATCCTTACAAAAAAACTATTAGCAGATTTTAGGTATCCCCAGAATTACACCTCAGTCTGATCGAACAGGCACTCCTCACTCTTACAATAAATGATATTAAAGTATCTGTAATACCTTTTTCACTTGAACATGTGAGTACTAAGAGTAGGGAAATCATCAAGATGTCATCCAGGTATAAGATCACAAAAGAATATATGAACTTCATTATCACATTATTGATAAAATCCTGAACTATAGCTTGATCATTACAAAGGCCAAAAGACCTCATGGTATATTTATTATGCCCACTCCTAGTGTTAAAGGCTGTTTCCCCCTCATGGCCCTCCTTAATATGTACAAGAGTATAAGCCCCCCTTAAATCTGACTTAGTGAACACAGTAGCCTGTCATACATCTCCATTATCAAGGGAATAGGATAAGCAATAGGATAAGCATTTCTTACAGTGATCTTGTTAAGACCCCTGTAGTCGGACCATGCTCCTAAATCACCCTCTTTCTCAGATACAAAAAAAGAGACCTGCCCCAACCAGGCAAACCCTTTTTCCAGTGATTTCTTAGTGAACACCTCTATAACAAGGTTTTTTCGAGGAGACTAAGCATACACACTCCCTTTAGAAGTGATAGCACATGGTAAAAGGTCAATCATACAATTTTACAGTCTATAGGGTGGTCAGTTGTCAGCATTGATAGAGCGTAGGGAAGTGACCTTGGATACAAGTCGCTTGACATTTCAGACTCCATGACAATATTTGACCTGATTCACAAAGAATAGAAGGACTGTGTTTAAGCAACCAAAGATAACCTAGCACAATGTCGTCCTTAGCACTTACCTGATCGCCAGCGATAACGTTGTGATCACATGGACAGAATAGCTGTCCAGAGCAGTGACTGTAGGGGGCCTGTAATAAAGTTTGAAAAAGTTTAAAACAGTGTAAAAGTAAATTATATATATTTTGATCATCTCTCGCTCTCTCTCTCTCTCTATATATATATATATATATATATATATATATTTAAAAAATAAATAAATGATTAAAAAATGAAGAATAAATAAATAAAATTATATATCTCACACTCCCTAAACATACTTGCACTAACAGAAACATGGCTCTCTCCCTCTGATACTGCTACACCTGCCTCACTGTCTTTTGGTGGTCTTCACTTTACCCACAACCCAAGACAAGCAGAGATTAAAGGTGGCGGTGTAGGTTTTCTTCTCTCACCCCACTGCACCTTTAAAACCCTGTCTACCCCCCCTTCCCTCTCTTTCCCATCATTTGAAATTCATTCAATTCGCCTTTTCAAACCCTTCTCTGCTAACATTGCCGTAATCTATCGTCCCCCTGGTTCCCCTCTCCTCTTCCTTGACCACTTTGCTGCCTGGCTACCCTACTTCCTCTCTTCCAACATCCCATCCCTAATTCTTGGAGACTTCAATATTCCCGTTAACCCACCTTTGACCCCAGCAGCCTCTAAACTACTTTCAATCACTTCCTCCCTTGGACTTTTGCAGTGGGCTAATTCTCCCACTCATGTAGCTGGCAATACCCTCGACCTTATTTTCTCTTATTCATGTACAATATCTAATATCTGCAACACCCCATTTCCTCTCTCTGATCACCACCTCTTATCATTTGCTCTCAATTACCCCCTCACCCAACAATCTCAGCCTAACCCCCCTCAGCTCAGGAGGAACCTTAACTCTATTGACCTCAAGCAGCTGTCAGCTGACATTGATTCACAACTGCTATCCATCCCTTCCCTCTCCTGTCCCTCACTGGCCATCTCCACATATAACACTACCCTCACATCTGCCTTGAACGCTGCAGCCCCACTCAAAACATGCACCTCGAGGAGAACACGACCCCAACCTTGGCATAATAAATCAACACGCTATCTGCAGAGTTGCTCCCGTTGTGCTGAACGCTCCTGGAGGAAGTCCCGCACCCAGGCAGACTTTCTCCATTATAGATTCATGTTGCTTTCATACAGCGCAGCCCTTCGCCCTCGCCAAACAGTCATACTTTTCCTCTCTCATTAGTTCATGCTCCCGCAATCCCAGACGTCTCTTTGACACCTTTAATTCCCTTCTCCGCCCTGCTGTGGCCACCCCCCAAACTAACCTTACAGCTGATAGCTTTGCATGCTACTTTACCGACAAGATTGAACAGCTAAGGAAACAATTCTCCCCTCCTTGCCGTTCTCTTTCTCAACCACATGTAAATCTTGCTTTCCCTACCCTCCAGACTTTCTACCCGGCTACTGAACAAGAGGTGGCTGTGCTTCTCCATTCCTCTCGCCCCACCACTTGCCCGCTCGATCCTGTCCCATCTCACCTCATCAGATCTCTCTCCCCTTGTCTTGTGCCTACCCTAACACACATCTTTAACTGCTCTCTCTCTTCTGGCACTGTTCCTGCTGACCTTAAACATGCCACTGTAATACCTATCCTGAAAAAACCATCTCTTGACCCATCCTCCCCTTCTAACTATCGTCCCATATCCCTGCTCCCTTTCTCATCAAAGCTTTTGGAAAGACTTGTCTTTACCCGTGTGTCCCGCTTCCTTAATTCCAACTCTCTCCTTGACCCTCTTCAGTCTGGCTTCCGCCCTCTCCACTCTACTGAGACTGCTCTTATCAAAGTGACTAATGACCTAATCTCCGCTAAATCCAAAGGTCATTACTCCATATTAATTCTCCTTGACCTCTCTGCTGCCTTTGACACCGTTGATCATGCTCTCCTCCTTCAAACTCTTCAATCGCTCGTTCTCTGTGACTCGGTCCTCTCTTGGTTTTCCTCCTATCTCTCCCAATGCTCATTCAGTGTCTCCTTTTCCAAGGATACCTCCTCCACTCGTCCTGTCTCTGTTGGAGTTCCCCAAAGGTCTGTCCTTGGTCCCCTTCTATTTTCTCTTTATACCGCCTCTCTTGGTAAACTGATTGCCTCTTTTGGATTCCACTACCACCTGTACGCTGATGACACTCAGATATACCTCTCCTCCCCGGACCTCTCCCCTGCTGTCCTGCAACGTGTCACTGCTTGCCTTTCTTCCATCTCTGACTGGATGTCTTCACGCTTTCTGAAACTTAACCTCTCTAAAACTGAACTCCTTGTCTTTCCTCCTCCTAATACTGATCCTCCTCTCTCGCTCTCCCTTCAAGTCAGTGATATCCACATAAGTCCATCCCTGCAAGCGCGCTGTCTTGGCGTCATACTTGACTCTGGTCTCACCTTCGAGTCTCACATCCAGTTTGTTGCCAAGTCCTGTAGGTTCCAACTCAAAAACATAGCCCGCATTCGCCCCTTTCTTACGCAAGATGCTACCAAGGAGCTTGTCCATGCTCTAGTAATTTCCCGCATGGATTACTGTAGCCCTCTCCTGATTGGTCTTCCCAAAAGCCGTATTGCCCCGCTACAGTCTGTAATGAATGCTGCAGCTAGACTGATTTTCCTCTCTAGTCGGTCCTCTCACACCTCACCCCTCTGCCGGTCCTTACATTTGCTCCCTGTATGCTATAGGAGTCAATTCAAAGTGCTAACCCATACATTTAAAGCACTGAACAGTTCTAGCCCCGCTTATATCTCTTCACTGATCCATAAATATGCCCCTCCACGTACCCTCCGCTCTGCCCGTGAACACCTCCTGATCGCTGCTCGCACCCGTACGGCCAACTCGCGCTTGCAGGACCTCTCGCGGGCGGCTCCTCTCCTATGGAATAGCTTGCCTACTGCCATCAGACTCTCCCTTAGTCTTCAATCATTTAAGAAGGGCCTTAAAACCCATCTCTTCAGGAAAGCTTATGGCCTCCCAGGGTAATCTCTACCTTACATACCTGTCTCCTGCTCTCTCCTATGGGACAGTGCTTTGCTCTCTCCTCCAGCTCTGCTTCACTCCTACTTGATATTTATTGTCCTAATGTTTCAAATACCCCACCTCCAATAGTCTGTAAGCTCGTTTGAGCAGGATCCTCTTCAACCTATTGTTCCTGTAAGTTTTCTTGTAATTGTCCTATTTATTGTTACACCCCCCCTCTCAAAATATTGTAAAGCGCTACGGAATCCGTTGGCGCTATATAAATGGCAATAATAATAATAATATATACATGTGTAATTTTATTTTGAGGGACTTGCCTGACAACCAAAGCAGAAACTTCACAGAATTTGGTCCGCAAGCCCTATATTTAACCCTGTAACTTTCCAAGACACCATAAAACCTGTACATAGGGGTTACTGTCTTACTCGGGAGACCTCACTGAACACAAATATTAGTGTTTCAAAACAGTAAATGTATCACACTGATGATTTAGGCAGTGAACGGGCCATTTTCTGCATTTTTCCCACACAAACTGCACTTTCACTGATATCACCGATATTGTTGTGATCTGTTTTACTGTTTTAAAACACTAATATTACTGTTTAATTAGGTGTCTCGATTATAACAGTACCCCCATGTACAGGTTTTATGGTGTTTTCAAATGTTAGAGAGTCAAATATAAGGTTTGCATTTCACTTAGCCACTTAGTCACAAACACTGGCCAAAATTAGCGGTCAAAATAGTATTTTTTTGCATTTTTCACACACAAACAAATATGAACGCTAACTTTGGCCAGTGTTTGTGACTAAGTTGCTACTAAAAAGTACAGGACAGGGGGGTGGGGCCGGACCGCCATGCTGACCGGTCGCATGGCAGAGGGGCTCCTGAGGAATCGGGCCTTAAAGCCACAATAGGCAGCTTTTCACACCTGAAAATACTCACATAGCTGTGGGAGGGGTAGCAGATCCCGAGATCAGGAGTCTCGGGCCCCCCACGGGAAGCACAAGACTTCGGAGGCTGTGGCATACTCTGGGAGGAGTGGGGTGGACGGCCGCTGCCCCATTCCCCTACCATACTGCCAAATGCTAGAATGTTGAACGCCTCCCGGTCCCTGTTCCCCCCCCCGCTGGGCCGGGGGGGTTATCCCAGTCCCCACTGGGACGAACTCGAGTCGACTGACAAGCTGACTTGAAGGCGCTGAGCAAGCAAGGCCCACAGCCCAAGATGGCGGCGGCTCAGAGCACTCACCTTACCGTTCCTGCGACACGGAGCCACACCAACTACCTGAGCGGAGGACGGTGCAGTGAACGCAGCGGACCCCGGCTGGGGTACCAAGAAATCCAGCAAACCCTCATCCCGCAACACGCGCCTCCCTGACCAAGATCATAGCCAGAGGGGGATCTACAAGTCTATCGAAGAAGAGGGGGGGAGGAAGCGACTCCATCTGCCCATCGTCTGTCCAAGCAGTACCAGCACAGAGTCCCCCGCAGCCTCATGCAGACCGTGCTTTATCAGAGTCAACCGCTTACCTCATGCTTTCTAGGAATAGACACTCTTGGACGAAACATGCAGCCATACCTTGCCTCTGCCCGCTTCTCCCCGCCAGGGTTCACATGGACACACATAACAGCTAAGACTGCTCAGCCCCAGTGGCTTCACTTAAGCCTGTTTCTATTAAAAGGCATGTTACGCTATCTGCCTTTTTCTCTGCTCACCTAGTCCGAGCACAGAGGCACTAGCAATTATAGCGTCAATATATACCTAAACCCAGATTACACGCAGGGAATAACTTTTAACATTCTAGCATATTAGACAAGCGCATCATAATCGTTTATTTCACTCTTTCATAATCGTTTATTTCACTGTAATAGCCAACATTACGATTCTCCTCAGTTTATCCTCAATGTCAGACATGATTGATTGTTTATCTTGTTCTTAATACTGTATTAAAAAAAAAGTGCACGTCTTTTCTAATTACCCCAATTGTCACATGTGATGTTAAGCTAGAGGAATGCCGTTGGGGTACCTCCAGCCTGTCTGTACTCAAACTATGCACTGCAAAAAAAAAAAAAAGTACAGGACATTTGTAATACCTTGGGTTGTCTACTTTTGCAAATGGTATGCTATCATGTGGATCATTCTCATTCCCGGGCTACCATTTGGTCTCAAAGGCAACATAACCAGTCTTTCAAATTTCAATGTATATAAACTGAAAAATGTAACCTGCTATATTTGACCCTGGAACTTTCCAAAACACCATAAAACCTATACATGGGGGGTGCTATTTTACTTGTGAGACATCACAGTAACAGCTTATGACATTCACAGTTAAAATGCATTGCAGAACTAAAAAACACAATTTCTTAATTTTTCCAATTATTTTTTTATATTTTATTCGTATTAAATTATGTTTCATAGATAAATATTTTATATAAAAT